ATGATTCCATAGAAATATGTTTCACCATTCACACATACTCCATAGTTCGTTGTTGCTCGCCTACTTCCATATTCGTAAGTGTGAAAGTGTACCCTCGTGTGAAATACATGCTGTGGTAACCTTAGCGGCCGGATCTTGTATCAATTCGTGAAACCATGGATCATCATAATCAACCTGTAATATGACATATATATATATATACATATATATATAACAATTAATTACAATAAAATAACATATTAAAAATTATTTTGTGATATATACCTGCGTGTTTAACCATTTCACAAAGTGTTGGTTACTTTGTAATATATTTATGACTAATTTACGACTACATTCAAAAGTAGTCATAATTTGGTTGTTAATTACCTTCCTCTTTACGACTAATACTATTAGTCGTATTATAACTACCAAGTTACGACCAATTATAAATTAGTCGTAAATTGGATGTAAAGTAGACGCTAATTTACGACCACATGTTTGTAGTCGTTAACTGTAGTCGCTTTTCTCATGTTTTCTTGTAGTGCAAGTTCGAGTACTACACATTCCTTCGGAACTTCAGTATGCTGATATATTCACAAAAGGACTTCCTTCCTCTCTGTTCAATACCTTTCGCTACAGTCTCAGCGTTACGTAAACTCCACGCTTCGACTGTGGGGGAGTATTAGCAACCAAAGAATATCCCATATTCTGGTGCATCAGTTAGAGTAAATATAGGAAGATCCCACAATTGTTATAACCAAACTCTGTATATATTTGAGTGATCAATACAAAGATATTCAAGTGAAATACAATGTCTAACAGTCTGCTGATTCACAAACGTGTCCTGCTGATTTTGGGAGGGAAGTGTAGTGATTCTGATGATTGGGAAGGAGAGTTCTTCCCTGAGATCCCTCAGATTAAGTATGAGGTAGCAATCATTACTTGTACTATAGTATGTATTAGATCCAATGTTCGAAACTACGCTAGGCGTTAGTCGGGCGGCGAAGCCAGGCCTAGCGAGTTACCAAAAAATCGGAGATTAAACGGGGATTAATCGGGAATTAATTTATAAGCATATTATGTAAATACGTATAACTATTAGCTTTGTTTAGATATTACAAAGTTGCGCACCAGTTCAGATGGTAAGTTCTTTATTTGTTTACTGTCACAACTCGGGTTCGACCCAACCCAAAGTTTTTTTTGTTTTTTTTGTTTTAATGAGGGTAAAATCGTATTTTTGAAATCATCTTCCTCCTAACCTAAACCTGCAACATCGGCGCCTCCATTTTTTCAAAGCTTTTTTCACTCATTTACACACATTTTTATCCTTTTATTACTTAAACCTATCAAAGTTTTACAGATCCAACCAAAACACACAGGTTTTTAGCACAAAACGAAACCAAAAAGATTTTTTTTTTGAAAAATCCAATTTTTTCTCCGATTAGGGTCGTTTCGCCACGGTGGTTGGCCGCAAAGCGTTTACTCGCCGGCCAGGCGGCCGCCTAGTCCGCGTTTTCGAACACGGATTAGATCATATACATATTGTTAGCATGTGTTGATTAATTGATTGATTGATTGTTCAGGGACCTTCTAGCAAAAATTCGTGGTGTTTCCATGACAAATACATTGCCCCTGATGGCAACACACTTGAGGTATTCCAAAGCTTTTGTTTGTTTTCCTATTACAGTGTAACTCTCAGCCCCCGTAACCTGCTTTTTGCTCAATGTTATGCAGGAATCTAACAAAAATTTAGATGAGGTTATCGAACTCGCAAAAGAACTCCAAAAGGTGATTCAAGTTACTCCCTTCTTTTTTCAAATAGATGTTGTTTTAGTACTAAACACATATATTAAAAAAAAATTTAATTCTTTACATTTACGAAACAAAAAAAAACATCATTGTTCACCTCTAACTACAATTTAACCAATAATGAAATAGGTTAGATAATATCATTGGTCATATAACATAATTTGTTAATAAATTTTACATTGAAATTTGAAAACTTCACCTAATTTGGAAGAAGTCTTTTTTCTAATATTAAAAAAAAACTGATGGAGTATTAATTTCCCATTTCTTATCAAGCATTGGAGTTCGTATATTTCATCTTTGAAACACTTCCTATGTTGAGGTGCTAAGAAAAGAGTTTTTCTTTTATCTTCCTCTTAAATTGCAGGGAAGCAAGATCAGACCATTGTGGGGAGCAACTCAGCTCTGAGGTTGGAGTCTATGCCTACGCCGCTTCTCAGTTGAAGAAGGCCATAGAGGTGACACATTACCTGGGCGGCTGGGCGGTGGAAACTATGTTTTCTGGGGCGGTCGTGAAGGCTACCAGACGCTCTTGAACACCGATATGGAAAGAGACACTACAAAAAAATGATATATTATTACGAATTTTTGAGACTAAAAATTGAAGTCACAAAAATGTGACGTAATAGAAATTAATTTATGACTAATATTTTATGTAAAAAAAGAGTAGCTATTGGGTCACAATTTTGTGACCAGTTTTGTAGTAGCCAAATTTTGTCACATTTAGTGACATAAATATTACGGAAAAAAACAAGACACGAAATATGACATAGTTGTGACTATGTATATTGTCACCACAGTAATGAATAGGGTGACTAAGTCATACGTCTCGAAATGTGACATAGTTGTGACTATGTATATTGTCACCATAGTAACGAATATGTGACTAAGTCATACGTCTCTATTCATGACAATAGAGAAACTAAATGTCTGTGACAAATTCATACAAAATTATGATAAACAAAAATGTCGTAAACAAAATATTGATAAAATTAGATAATTAATTCTTTAACTTGTTTTCTATTATTTAAGTATTTGTGATCCAAATCGAAAACACAATCTATTGTATGAACATGGCCACTAGAGCCCAATGAGAAAGCTTCAATGGCATGCGAATTTTGGCCAGAATATTCCTTGCAAGCTCATCTACTTCCTTTGCCATCACCATCTCTGGCCATCCACCTCCGACCGAGCAACACCCTACTGTTATTCACTGTTTGGGAGAGAACACATATACAGGGCATTGTGGAGTGATCGTTCAGCCTCGTGTAGAACATGGTGACTGCAAGAACAAATCCACCACACTGAAATTGTCATTAAAAGATCAAAAACAGATCAAATCTAAGCAGTGTCTTTTTAAGAAACGGGACTAAAAAATGGATACCTAGAATGCAAAGAAAACCAATGTGTTTGCTGCGGAAAATAATATGTTCACTGACCTGAGACAAGACTTGAAACAAGGTCTTTAATTTGCCTGATCTTGCTGTATTGTTGTGAGCGCGACTACCAGACTCTTGAAGCCTAAAATTAATTAACGTCCTCAGAACTCAGATTGAAACTCATTAGAGATCTTTTTGTTCGTAGGAAGCTAAATTATAATACAGAACTCATTCCTGTTTTTATTATTTGACACTTTCTCAGAATGCAGAGATCACATTCGGCAACGTAGTGAGATCAGTGAACATATATGGAATCTCGTATTGGATCGGCTTGGCTAAAAATCGTTTTCTTTCCACACATGGACATCTCTCACATGATGATTCTCCATCACCGACTCAACTTTTCCTCTGCTTCTTAAGCTGTCTGCCCATGTTGTGGTATATAGTCCGTGGACAAAGCAGAACAGAAGACTGTACAATGGGACTGTGATTACACCGGTATCAATCTTCAAGCAGTTGGATCGTTTCACGACCAGATCATACATATGAACCTTTTTTTTTCTGCAAGGAGGAATTATTTTCGTTTTTGGCAACAGAAAATATTTTTCTTATCGAAATAGACTTTTTGTAAACGGAATTTCACGATAAGTACATAAAACCAACAAAAATAAGTATATGGATATGCATATTAGTTAAGGAAAAAAACAAATAAATCAACAAACGTGAGCCAATCCATTACAGAAACGTGGATCTCTTTTTATAAATTTGACGAACAACTAAACCTCTTTGACAAGCCAATCTATCATCCAACGTCTTATTCTTTCTAGTTTAATATTCAACATAACTGGAAATACTTTAGCTTTTGGTGAGTTACTAATACATGATCAATGGTTTTATTTTTGCGAAGTCTACTTGTTTATCTTTTAGACGGAACAAACCCTAATTATAATTTTTTTTTGTTTCAGATTATTTCAATGTCATCCTCTAAAGATATTAAACTTCTAAGACGATGGATGTATGAAAGAATCGATCATACAATTAATCAAATTTCAGAAGATTATTATCAAGGATTAAGGAGCTTTATACATAGGTATGAACATTGTCCATTGTTGATACAAGTCTCATAGATTCACGTTTTTGGTGAGGATTAAGGTAACCAAGAAGGATGATCCAAAGGTGACAGTTTTGATGCAACAAGCTGAGTTTCTCAGTTCATTGGCTCGGATAAGAGCATGGAGGAGCTGCTTGAGACTATTGGCAAAGTGCTTTTACAAGTTTTGAATTTTTGTAGTAGGTTGAGTTAGTATTAGACTTGGTATATATATTTTGGATAAGTTATGCAATAAAAACTTATGTATTTTTATAATTTATGGAATATAAAAGTTATATATAAAAATATAACGAAATAGCTTTACAAAATATTTTTAAAAAGCCTAAACCTCAAATTTATAATATAAATTTTAAAATTAAACTCCATGTATATTCTAAATTCAAACAAAATACATAGTTTTAAATCTTACCTCCAAACCCTAAACATACCCTAAATTCCAACATCCAACACTTATAATAAATTTCAAAATGAACATTTATAGAAATCTATAAACAAAAGTATAGACTATATAATTTGGATACATAAAACCACTTTAAGTTAGTTTTTTTTTACCCTAAACCCCAAACTTAAACCTACATATAAAGTCATAAATCTAATATTTTCAAACTTCATACCCCAAAGTAATCATATACCGTACTCTCTACCTAATATCTTAACTCTAACATCTTTATTATTTGATTTGAAATCTTAAATTTAATCTAAAGTTCTAATATTAAATCTTAAATCTAAACCTAAAACACTATACTCCAAACCCTCGACTCACTAATTATTTTGTTACTATTATATTATTAATTTTATTTAAATTGAAAATCGTTTATAAAAAATGAAATTAATTATTTTGTGAATTTATATCATTATTTTATATGTAACGAATAAACTGATTTTTATATAAAAAATTTAGTCAAAAATATAATCAAAATTACTAAAATAAGTGTTAAATGAAATAATTCATTTTGGCCATTGATTGACACTTTAATCTAAAAGCTACAAATGAAACTTTTGGTAATCTTCATGCTTGTTTCTTATTGGTCAATACTTTAAGACAAGAATATCTATTTTCTCTCACTCACAACATCTCTCTCCTCTCACGTTTCTATCCCACCTCTCAAGCTTTCTTTCTCCTCTTCTCTCTTCTGAAACTTAATTTTTTCTCATTTATCCTTTCTCCACCTTAACAATCCTCCTCCTATAATTCTACAAACACAAACCACCATCACCCCTCACATCCTCTGCCATTACTTCTGCCTCAACCACCATGTTGTTAATCTGTCCCAGCCACCATCACATCACCTCCTCGCCCACCACTACCACCATAACCTTTGCTACCTCCTCCTTGCTCCGTTTCTTCATCTCCCCATCTTTTTTGTTCAAGTTTTTTTCATCTTATAATCTCTTCTAATGAAATCTAATACTTTTGTTTACAGATCTGGTGGTCTTGTTTAACACAAATCTTCACCAATCTTCTCTGAGTCCGTGGTAATCTTAGATTCTCTGAAATCTTACATGCCTTTGTCTCTAATTCTACACATACACACTTGTACCTGATTGTTTATATGCTCTTTTTTTTGTAGCTGTAGCATGAAGATTTACTCTGGCTAGAAGCCTCATTCTGCAAGTTCGTTCTTTTTTCTTCTTAATCTAATTGAAAGTTTTTGTCTTTAAATCGAATAGTGTTAGTACGAATGGGAATGAACTGATTTACTTAGTGTTTCTTATATTCCTTCATACTTAACATGTTTGAGCTCTTGCAGGTTTTGAACAAGATGTTGTGTGGCAGATGGCAGAGGAAGATAGCAGTGGTGGTAGAGATGGGGCCAACAAGAAGAAAAAGAGAAAGTTGGTCATGAGCAGTCATGACAGATGAGAAAGCTTAATGGTGGTGGAATAGCAGAGACAATGGTGAGGTTTGACGGTGGCTGTTCAAATAAATTGTGTTTCAGAAGAAGAAGAAATTGATGGCGACGAGTTTACTTTAGATGTAGGGTTAAGATTTTTTAGGTTAAGTTGTTTCATGTTTAGATTAGTAAACCGAGTATGGTTTACTTAGTTTTTTTCCAATTTCGGTTTAGTTTTTTTCAATAGATTTTGTTTGGATACTGATTTTTATTAATAAATAAAATTTGAATTATAAATTAATTTTTGAGTTAATTTTTATTATTTTATTTTCAATTAATTAATTAATTAATCATAAATGAATGATACAAAATACAATAATTTTGTAACGCATTTATAGTACTTATTTAAGACGGATAAATATCCATTTTTTAGTCATTAAGTATTACGTTTTTTTAATTTATTTCTGGTTATAATAGGTTACAAAATTAAGACTTTAAATTAGTTACGAATAATGACAGTTTGAGACAATATATAATGTCAGAATTTGTGATGGTTAAAAGACTATATTATCGTTTGTATTAGTGACATTTTGTGAAAATATTATCGTTTGTATTAGTGACATTTTGTGACAATAGGTCCGTCACTATCAGTGACATAGTTGTCACATCAAACAGTCGCAAATTAACACAGTTTGCGACAATTAGATAAGTAAAAAATTGTCACAGTTCTGTTACCAATATACAACGTAACAATGCATGACGATTTGTTACAAAAAATTTAGTCGCAAGAAATTATGACACTTTTGTTACTCCAAAACATTTGTGACACACATATTGTAACCATTGATAATTGGTAACAAAAACGTGACAATGATAATATTATTACGAATTCTTTTTTATTGTGACGGAAAATTTTGTCATAATATCCTTAGTTTCTTGTAGTGAGAGCTTGATCATATGGCCAGGTTCTTTGAAGCTGATGTTTCTTACAAGAAGAATATTGGTTTCAATGGCACGTTTTTGATCGAGCCAAAGCCTCAAGAACCAACGAAGCACTAGTATGACTGGGATGCTGCAACCGCTGCCAACTTCCTGAGGAAATACGGACTTATTAACGAGTTTAAACTCAACATTGAGTGTAACCACGCCACGCTTTCTGGTCACACCTGCCACCACGAGCTTGAAACTGCAAGAATCAATGGTTTACTTGGGAACATTGATGCAAACACCAGAGAAGCTCAAACTGGTAAGCTTTTAAGATTCTCTTGATCACTACTAATGTTCCTTTGTCTAGATTTTGATTGAATAACGTTTTCTCTTTATCTCAATAGGATGGGATACAGATCAGTTTCTTACAGATGTTGGGGAAGCAACCCTGGTTATGATGAGTGTCATCAAAAACGTATGTTAAAATATAAACTCATTCTCAAGAAACCATAGTAGTAATCAGATGTTACTGTTTTATCTCGTTATGAATCAGGGTGGGATTGCTCCAGGTGGCTTCAACTTTGACGCCAAACTGTAAGAATGTTTTCTTGATGCTCAGTGTTTTTGCGGTTTCTTAAACTCAGAAAGAAGGTTATAATGTTTTTGATCAAACAGGCAAAGAGAGAATGCAGATGTTGAAGACCTTTTCATTGCTCGTATTAGTGGAATGGACACTGTGGCTCGTGGACTGAGAAATGCAGCCAAGATTTTGGAGGTTGGTTACTTGCTTGCCATCTCTCCTTAAAATAATTTATGAGTGTTTAGCTTTATTGATTAACTTGGTCTCTGGTGTGTGTGTGTGTTCATTGCACTCAGGAAAACCTGTCATCTGAAGATATTCTATTCGTTAAGTAATGAGTTTTGGTTCATCTAAATTTAATAGTAAAATTGTAAGTACATAAAACTTAAGCAATGAAGAACTTTAATTATTTTTTCTTTCCAAATCTAAATATTCGAAACCCGACCCGAAATACCCGATCCGAACCCAAACGGATATCCCAACACCGACCCCTACTGTCTATTATACAATGTTCTAGATTTACTTTATTCCCATTACTTGTTCTCCAAGTTCTACTTGGTCTCTATTCTATTATAATCATATATTAGGTGAGAATCCGTGCCTTGCGGAGTGAGTGAAATAAAAAGAGTATTATCGAATCGTCTATAGATATTAGAAATTCAAAAAAAATATGTTATATAATGATATATCTTACTATAATGTGCATGTTTATATAATTTTAAATTATTCAGTTTTTTCTACGAAAAAAATTGTGTAATTGGATGTGTACATTAAAGTTTATTACATGAAAAAAATAAGATTAAGCAAAAATTTATGGAAATTTATTATGAATTTAAATTAAAAAAAAAAACAAATCATAGGTAATATAATTATTTAATTCATCATAGAATTATGATGATAATAATTAAATTAACATAGGTAATAGAAAAATAAATTAAAACACCAAATCATCGCAAATAAAATTGTCTTCAAAACTCCTGGTTAAACGACCCATGGATTTTATCTCCCTGCAGAAAAAACATGGATATCAGATACATATAATAAAATACACAAAATATGTATTGACAATATTCTGTTAATACAAATGTACCTTTACATAAACGAAAACCATTTATATGGTCTCTCCAACAGCAACAAAATACTACTTCTAAGTTGTATCATTTTCACTCTTATCTTCACATTGACTTCTTAGGCTTTAGATCAGCGGTGAAGTTGATGCCACTCATTTTTATGATGCTTTTAAAATGTTTAGGTTGTGATGGTGTTCTCAGATTAGTTTAAGGAGATATATATATATATACTTCATAGATGTTGAAATAAGAGTTAATTGTGTATCATAATTGTGGCCTTAGATCAAGCCAAACGAAATCACTAATTAAATTTTATAACATTTATGTTTAGAACATTTTTTTATATAACTTCGAATATCAATCTCAATTATAACCTAGCTGTAGTGATACATCGCATTATAATTCTGGCCTCAAATCAAACCAAACAAAATCCCTAATTGAAATCAAGGAAAACATAATTGGAAAGAAACATATTTTATGATATTATATTTGAAATTATGTCAACAATATTGTTATAGAAATTTGATCACATTTATGTTTAGAATATTGTTTATAGAAATTCGAATGTTCTTAACTATGGGCTAAAATCAAGTCAACCCAAATTCCTAATTGCAATCAAGGAAACATAATTGGGAAGAAATATATTTTCTGATATTATACTTGAGATTAGTGAAATATTGTTATATAAATTTGATAACATTTATGTTTAGTATATGCGTAAAATACGTTTGTTCTAAATTTCAGAGACTTGAACCTTAATTTTAAAAAATCATTCAATGAGTATTACCAAGATCCCTCTTTGTTTTTGAACAATGTTCAAATCCATGTAATATGTATATATTATTTTTTGGAAGGTTGAGTAATACAAACAAATGCTTCTATTGATTTTTAAACTTATCTTTCTTATCATTTAAGCTCTTTGTCTTTCATATATAAATTTGAATAGCAATCTAGGTGATAACCCCAATGAAACAAATATTTTTTGAATCTCTAATTGATTGTGGTTCCTACAATATTAATTGAAAAAAACTAATCAAAAGAGGAAGCAAACGTAATTGGAACTTTTTTTAAATATAATCTTTTTGAGTGCATAAATTAGTGACATAATATATGCTTATTACCATTTATAGCAAGATTGACCATTAACATAAACACATGATTATGAATTTTATTGAACATCTAGAAAAAAGATCAATTATAGCCACGAATTAGATGTTAAAGTTCCGTATAAATAAATAACATATATATATATATATATATATATATATATAACATGAACATAAAAATAAAATAACATATAGCTTGTTATACATTTTTTATATTTATTTGAATGTCATTAACATTTTTACTCGAAAAACAAATTACTTATATACTATGTAGTATTTTGATATAAACTTATATATTTATCGGTATAGGTTATATAACATAAACATAAAAATAACATATAGTTTGATATACACTTATTTATATGTCAATAACATTTAACCTCAAAAAAAAATTACATATATATTATGTAGTGTATAGTGTAATTTCGAATTGCATATGCATATAATATAAAACATATAGTATAATAATTATGTAGGTTTATATGTCAATGGCATGACATGTAATTAGTCTAAGCAATAAAGAGCTACTCCCTCTGGATATAAAAGTATGATGTTTAAAGTTTTGCACATATATTAAGAAACAAGCAATTAATTCTTTTAGTTATTATTTTTTGGTTTTATCAATAAAGTTCAAACCACTCATAATTTTATCTTTTAATTTAATTTTAAAAACAAATGCATTAATTATATCCCGAAACATCAATCTTTTATATACAAGATAAAAATCTAAAATATTTTACATTTAAATATGGAGAGAGTATTAAATAAAGGATGAGAAGTGCATTGGTGTTAAACACCTAAGAAATGACAAAACTGTTAATCACACATGAGAGTAAAATTAACTTTTTTAAATACTTCTCAAATAATAAAAAAGAGATAAAAAATCTCTTTACTCATAAATAAGATACACCAATTCTTCTCTTCCCTTCTCTATTTACAACATACTCCCTCCGTTTCATAATAAGTGTCGTTGTAGAGAAAATTTTTCGTCACAAAATAAGTGTCGTTTTCGGTTTTCAAGGTAAAATTTATTAACTTTATTATGTAATTTATTTTTTTATTGGTTGAAATATGGTTAGGTGTATAGGTAATTGTGTTTTTATATAGAAAATATGCAAAATTAATTGTTTCCTTAATCTGTGTGCACGAGTTTAGAGTGACACTTATTTTGAAACAGAGGGAGTATATCATATTTGGCCAACGTGTTTTGTTAGTGTTTTAATCTTATACGTTTTTTTTTAAATATAGATATCCCAATCACGTCAGTTTGTTCTAAGAAACGTTTTTGTCGTCTTATTAATTTTTGTGAGGATATTTGTTCACAAGTGGTTTTACTGCTTTCGGAAAAGGAAAGAAACATTTAAGATTAAAAAGTACAAATTCCCAAGATATTTTCTTTTTTAGAATTGACTTCAAGACATTTTATCTTACACCATGAATGTGAACCCTTTGGGATCACCACAAGACATAAATTACACTTTTGATCCAACCTCTTCACTGTCTTCATGTCACTGCAACTTGAATCTGTAAAAAATTTCTTTACTTGCTTCATATATTCATCCTCTGTGTCACATTACTTTTCTTGACAAGCTATGTCTCTTAGCTTACTTCCGTGGTAAGTAAGCTCGATAAACACTGGCAAAACTGTGAAGTGGGAAAATAAGCCCTCATTCATTTCATTAGATTACTCCATAAGATATATATTTCTTGAATGTATCTAGTAACTTTTATTCAGTTTACCTCCATGTATAGTCTTAACTCGCCAGCGGATTTTGATATTTCTATTACACAATTAGTTGGAGTCACCTCGATCACCTCTGCTGATAATAAGTCATAAGAAGATCTCGATCTTATCTCTTTTGGTTGAATCTTAACCTAGAAATTAAACAACAACAACAAAAATATGCATAAATGAGATCTGCAGATAGACTTGAGATCTATAGAAGAAGCTGCAGTAAACCAACATCTATATAGTTTACCTTGAAGTGCTTTATTCTTTCAACTGATAAACTAACATCAGTTGCCGCAGCTTCAATCTTCTTGATTGTTTCTTGTGCTGTGTTCTTTGACCCAATTCTTGTTCTATATCTCTTTTCATCCTTAAGAGATGACAATAAGGAAAACTTTTAAGGGTTACTATCTCTTTTGTTAGTTAAGTTTAAAGATTTGACCATAAGAAAGTTTTAAGTCTTTTACCTGTTCTTCGAAGAGACCTGACAAATCTAGATCACTAGACATTGCTATTATCTGAAAAGCGTTTATGAAATTTGAAGACATGGTTTCTGCATTTATATCCGCTGCATTTTCCTGCAAGATACAATTCAAGTAATTAAGTTATATATAGCTTTGAGTTTGAGAGCAGTATATACAACTCAAAGCTATTAAGACATGTTGTGAAATCAACTTGCCTTGACTGAGTCTGAAACTTGTTGATAAGCTGGTGTATAACCTAACTTGAACCAAGAATCTTGGATGATTATCTCAGCTAGTGTAATACGCTGCATCCAAATTAATGTTTACAAACATTGTTACTCATTTTTGGACTGACACTGGCGAATATATATATGCTTATCATATCTTGTTATATACCGTTTGAGGATTTGGGTCAAGAATGTTAAAGATTAGCCTCTTCTGCTCTCCAGTGAATCCAGGTGGGAACGTATAATCTGCTCTGAGTATCTTCTTATACAAAACAGGAAGAGTGTGATCATCGAACGGTGTATAACCAGCAAGCAATTCAAATAGAATCACTCCACATGACCACACATCCACTGCTGCTCCTGAGTACCCTTTGTTCATAATTAGCTGTTTTCATTAACAAAAATGATCTTTTACAGATTCAGATATTTTGGAACCTTATGTCAAGTAATTATTGTTATTACAAATACTTTTACCTCTGGTGCTATATAGCATGGAGACCCACAAGCTGTAGATAGCATGTCACCTGACTGAAATAAAAAAACAAAACCTGATTAAGGACTTGATTGTTTGGCTGATAAATAGAAAATGATGTGATTAGAAAGTGTTACTTTAGGAACTGCACTTAGTC